TGAAGTCCATAAGTCGTAAAGGGGGCCATAGTTCCCCCATGCTGGCTCAGGAATTCTGGGAGTTGAAGTCCACAAGTCATCAAGGGGGACATAGTTCCCTCATGCTGGCTGAGGAATTCTGGGAGTTGAAGTCCATAAGTCGTAAAGGGGGCCATAGTTCCCCCATGCTGGCTCAGGAATTCTGGGAGTTGAAGTCCACCAGTCATAAAGGGAGCCATAGTTCCCCCATGCTGGCTCAGGAATTCTGGGAGTTGAAGTCCACCAGTCATGAAGGGGGCCATAGTTCCCTCATGCTGGCTGAGGAATTCTGGGAGTTGAAGTCCATAAGTCGTAAAGGGGGCCATAGTTCCCCCATGCTGGCTCAGGAATTCTGGGAGTTGAAGTCCAGCAGTCATCAAAGAGCCCAGGTTGCCTACCACTGTGTCTAGGTGGAAGCCTTACGGATGCATTTGGGCAGGCGGTCACTCCACTTCGGACCCCCAGCCGGCCGGTCGTGGCAGGCGATCTCCGCAGATCCGGCCAGGACGAAGCCCCCGTCGCAGAGGAACTGGATGGTGGAGCCCACCGGGAACTTGCTGGTGGACACCATGCGCCGACTGTGCTCCACATCTCCGGGGTCCGGACATGCCGTCACTGTGAGAGACAAAGACAACGAGGGTGCTCAGAATTCCGGACCCTTGGCAACCGACTCCTAGTTATGACTGTCGCCATGTCTCCGGGACAGGGGATCTGCTTTTGCGTGACAAAGGAGGAATCAACAGGCAAAGCAGGGGGAGACCCCCGGGCGGAGTGGGCAGCCTGTGTTTATTTTGGGGAGGGGGTTTGCACTCAACAGCTGTTCGCGCAGGGCCTAGAAAGGGCTACACAAACATCCACACCTACACCTCATCTTTTTCAAGTAGTCCTCCACTTACGACAATAATCAACAGGATGTGGAATTATACACACACACACACGCAGGCACACACACACAAACACACACACACATATAGGTAGTCCTCGACGTACAACCACAATTGAGCCGAACACTTCTGTTGCTAAGCGAGATAGCCGTTCAGTGAGCTTTGTCCCATTTTACAACCTTTCTTACCACCGTTAAGTGAATCGCTGCAGTTGTTAAGTGAGGAACACGGTTGTTAAGCGGATCTTTCCAGCCTGAGCAGGGGGTTGGACTAGATGACCTCCAAGGCCCCTTCCAACATCATCATCATCATCATTATTATTATTGTTATTGTTATATTGTTATTGTTATTATTGTTTTGTTGTTATTGTTGTTATTATTATTGTTATTATTGTTTTGTTGTCGTTGGCATTATTATTGGCATTATTATTATTGTTGGCATTATTATTATTGTTATATTGTTGTTATTGTTGTTACTATTATTATTACTATTGGTTTTTTTGTTTTTGTTGTTGTTGTTGTTGTTGTTGTTATTATTATTATTATTATTATTATTATTATTATTATTATTATTATTATTATTATTATTATTATTATTATTATTATTATTATTATTATTATTATTATTATTATTATTATTATTATTATTATTACCTGTCCTTGGGACTCAGCAAGTGTCATAAATGCAGATAGTCCTCAAGTTATGACCACAACTGAGCCCACAGTCTCTGTTGCTAAGCAAGACAATTGTTAAGTGAGTTTTGCCCCATTTTACGACCTTTCTTAACACCGTTGTTAAGTGCTGCAGATCACACGGTCGTTAAATGAATCTGGCTTCCCCCACTAACTTTGCTTGTCAGGAGGTTGTAAAAGGGGATCACCTGACCCCGGGACACTGCGACTGTCGTAAATCTGAGTCAGTGGCCAAGTTTCTGAATTTTGGACCACAGTCACATGACTGCAACGGTCGTAAGTCCAAGAAAGGGTCCTAAGTCACTTTTTTCAGTGCCGTTATACCTTGGAACGGTCACTAAATAAACTGTTGCACTGAGAGACAGGGGGAAAAAAGGAAGGTGTACAGATAGTCCTCAGGTTACAACAGTAACAGAGCCTGCCCATCCTGGACGTAACTCCCAGCCGTCATAAAATGGGTTTTGTAATATTTTGGGCCGCGATCCTCCCGTCGACCAGCTGGGGGAGCTCTTGACACACCCAGCATAAAGCCAGATCTGGTTCTTACCAGCACAATAGAGCAGCTTTTAGGAAATGTGACCCCCCCACACCTGGATGCACTGACTATTGGGGGTCCCACCCCCTCCCCAAAACCCTTCTGCCGTTGGGGTCCTCCCTCTTCCTTCTTTGCAGGGAGGATCTAAGCCGGGTTTAGCTCCTGGGGAAGCCTTCTAGATCAGGGCTGTCCAATCCTGGACTGGCTGGGGAATTCTGGGAGTTGAAGTCCCCAAGTCTTAAAGCAGCCCAGGTTGGACACCCTTGCGCTAAATTCCTGGAAAGCAGCTGTCAATCAACATCTAAAGGTTGACTCAGCATCCCTTATGGCTGTTTTAAAACGTGGGAGCTTTTTCCTGGGGTACTCATGACACGTTCCCCCCACCCCCCACCCTCCACTCCCCCAAAAAATCCAGAGGATTTTAAACTCTTATTTTGCCCATTTCGTTGTTTAGGATACTAAAGAGAGGAGGAGAGAAAACCATCAGCCATGTCTTCCCCATCTCCCTCCCTCCCCCCCCTCTCTCTTTCTTTCTTTCTCTCTCTCTCTCTCTCCCTCTCTCTCTCTCTCTTTTTCTCTTTCTCTCTCCCTCTTTCTCTCTCTCTCTCTTCTCTCCCTCCCTCCCCCCTCTCTCTTTCTCTCTCTCCCTCTCTCTTTTTTCTCTCTCTCCCTCCCTCTCTCTTTCTCTCTCTCTCTTTCTCTCTCCCTC